ATATGTTGGTGTCTGTACATGTAATGGTATATGTGTGTATACATGGGTGCATGTATAGATGTATATATATGGAATGCGTGTGTGCATGTATATCCATAAATGTACGTGTGTGTGTTTTGTTTGTGCATTTATTTCTGTGTATGTGTATGCTTGTATATGTATGTAGATGCAGGTGTGTATGTATCGCGTATGTCTGTATATGAGTTCACCTGTATGAAAATGTAGATGTATGTATACGAGTGTGTGAGTGTGTATGATGGCGTACACACGATGTGTATATGCATTATATATATTTCTTTTTAAATCCATAACATGCATTATTGATAACAGATATTAGTACTCTGAAAATGAGTACTATCTATATCTATCTATCTATCTATCTATCTATCTATCTATCTATCTATCTATCTATCTATCTATCTATCTATCTATCTATCTATCTATCTATCTATCTATCTATCTATCTATCTATCTATCTATCTATATCTATCTATCTATCTATCTATCTATCTATCTATCTATCTATCTATCTATCTATCTATCTATCTATCTATCTATCTATCTATCTATCTATCTATCTATCTATCTATCTATCTATCTATCTATCTATCTATCTATCTATCTATCTATCTATCTATCTATCTATCTATCTATCTATCTATCTATCTATCTATCTATCTATCTATCTATCACGAAACGATCTCATTTGTTTTCAGAAGTTAAGTACTTGTAATAAGTTCTTCTGGTTATTATATTTACTCTGCCCTTTACCCAAATATTACTTTAAACCAAACTGATTTAAATGTTTCCAGTCCTTAGTCCAGACAAAGCGACCCAGCCTTGGGTAATATTACCTAAAACTTTACACTGTAGCTAGGAATTCTATTCTCATGTGTCAGTGCCATAAATGTTATCTCCTGACCAGTCTGTAAGGGCCGGCAAACGGGAAACTAATTATCACACCTGAGATTGGCTTCCCTAAGCTGAACCTTAGTGTCATAAAGGTTACCTAACACGACCGAGTGGGGCTCTTTTGAACAGACTAGATAAGGGGAATTAAGTGGACTGGTAGACATTGTGGCGACCAGGGTCTTGAGATTCACACGTGTAAGTACAATTCTCAGGAGAACAGGTGTTTGCCAATTAAGTATGTCCAACCATCGGTCAAGGCCGTCACTTTGAGTGACAGGCCACTTGATAGCTAGATTGATCTGCTAGGTACCTCAGAGGCGTGGCTTAGGTCATCTCCTGGAGGGTTGGGTAGAACCTAGAAGGGGGAGGAGTTTTATTTGGACAGTAGATAGATACTTATACTACTAGCTCTGGAACTTATTCACCTCGCAGCCTGCTGGCAAACAAACACAGGTCGACGTAAAGGTAATTTTACGGTCTGATTCTGGTTTGGCGATTAATGGACAGTTCCCAGGTATGAGTAAATATTATTTTCAATCTTTTATACATAGGTTGGGGAATTAGCTAAAGCCTATTCTACCTTTCCTAATTTGTCTGCACATTCTGCTTGAAATAGTTCTTTGTTAGTATTCAGTATCTCCGTTAAGGAACTGCTAAACCATTCTTTTTTCTTGAATGTGTGTGTCACATGTTTTTCAGTGTATGTTTTCATGTTTATAAAATAAGACTTGTATACTGAATTATAATGAAATTATAATGTTTCAACCATCAACCAAAACATGAGTTTGGCCTGGGGGAAATGATGCCAAAATATGTGCAGAGATGCTGCTACGTTTTGTGTGCCTACCATGTGTTCACTTAATGTGTTCACCTAAACAGGGGATTTATAACCCCAGGGGAAGAATGATGGGTGTACAGTATTTACTGTCACTGAAAGATAATATTCAGGACAGCGTGCACACATAAAATGTTTTGCGTGTTCAGCACATAACCTGCGCCACATGTTTATGTCAAATCAATGTCAGCCAGTTGGAAGTTTGAGTGATGACGGATAACAGACTTAGAAAGTCAACTATCATGACATAGCATGAGAGGGAAGGCAGGATATGTGACGTCCATGTAAGACAAAAGACCTTCAGACTAGACTGGAGAGAATGTTGAATATGAGGAGGAGTGATGGGATATATTTGATTATTATATGTTATATTAATTGATACATGTATTCTTAGTGTAAGTCAAGATACTACACGTATGTGTTTGTTTCCATGATTACAGCGCCCATGTGACGATCAGTCCATGAAGGAGACTACATTGTGTTAGACTCGGCCAGCTGGGAACGAGGTGGAGATGAGCAGGGACCGAGGTGGAGAACCAGGAGAACTGGGAGGAAAAGGTGGAAGAACTTGACAGTACCCACGGCTGTCAGAGGTTCTATGAAATAAGATATGTAAAACCAGGTTTTTAGGAGTATATACTTATCACCACCATTACCACTTCACTCGAATCTTAGGTGCTCAGGTATCTAGCTGAAGCATCTCATTACCACCATACCATCACTGTCTATTATAATAATAATGATGGCTAATGTCATCTACTGATTGCTAGGTTAATAAATCAAATATATGGTCTTATCCTGCATCAGTTTTTGTAATTCCAAATGTGTCTGTTCTTACACGTTTAACTAAACTGTTAAGATAGAATACCATTTGGTTGGGGCTCAAATAATATGATAATAATTCTTTAATTATTAATAATACTAACGGGAGAAGGTAAGACGGGGGAATCATTTGCCCTGTCTAATAATTCCTTCAGTATAATGATATAGACATCTAAAATTCTTTTCCTTCTCTTGTGGGTACCAAGTTCAGCTAATGTTAAAGTACTTAACGAGCCAATATGGCTGTTTTCTTTGAAATCCAGGACTTTGTCTGAGAGCAACATAGCTCGGGTTTTAGTTCAGTTAATCTGGTGGAGGGAATGTGTTGAGAGGAAAATCCCTACTCAACATATAAAACATAAACCCACCTCGTCACGTCACACTATCCATCTATCTATCTATCTATCTATCTATCTATCTATCTATCTATCTATCTATCTATCTATCTATCTATCTATCTATCTATCTATCTATCTATCTATCTATCTATCTATCTATCTATCTATCTATCTATCTATCTATCTATCTATCTATCTATCTATCTATCTATCTATCTATCTATCTATCTATCTATCTATCTATCTATCTATCTATCTATCTATCTATCTATCTATCTATCTATCTATCTATCTATCTATCTATCTATCTATCTATCTATCTATCTATCTATCTATCTATCTATCTATCTATCTATCTATCTATCTATCTATCTATCTATCTATCTATCTATCTATCTATCTATCTATCTATCTATCTATCTATCTATCTATCTATCTATCTATCTATCTATCTATCTATCTATCTATCTATCTATCTATCTATCTATCTATCTATCTATCTATCTATCTATCTATCTATCTATCTATCTATCTATCTATCTATCTATCTATCTATCTATCTATCTATCTATCTATCTATCTATCTATCTATCTATCTATCTATCTATCTATCTATCTATCTATCTATCTATCTATCTATCTATCTATCTATCTATCTATCTATCTATCTATCTATCTATCTATCTATCTATCTATCTATCTATCTATCTATCTATCTATCTATCTATCTATCTATCTATCTATCTATCTATCTATCTATCTATCTATCTATCTATCTATCTATCTATCTATCTATCTATCTATCTATCTATCTATCTATCTATCTATCTATCTATCTATCTATCTATCTATCTATCTATCTATCTATCTATCTATCTATATCTGTCTGTCTGTCTGTCTGTCTGTCTGTCTGTCTGTCTGTCTGTCTGTCTGTCTGTCTGTCTCTATCTTACTCTGTATCTCTCTGTATCTCTATCTCTCACTGTCTCTCTCTCTCTATCTCTCTATCTATACTTGTGAAACATATCCGTAATGCAGACCTGTCTAAACCTCTCCGTAGTGATCCTGGAAATAAATTCTCTTTCGAGGGCCTGGCCAACGTAAAAAGGATCGACGTTTCATACAAAATCGGAATCCATCAACATGACAGGCGAGGAACTAACAGTCTGCACACAAATAAGCCAGAATAGTAAAATGTTTGTTCACGCCAAATTCAAGTCGTACAATAAGATAAGTTATGGACAAACAATAAGATTTTCCACCGGACTTCACAGCACGCGAAAGCAAAAGAAGATGAAGAAAACTATCCGGAATAAATTTAATGGTAGGGATCTCCCGTAAAGCTATACTGATGTAATCCTGCGTCACACTGGGTTTGAACCTGAAACATCATAGTTTAAGGGAGCTCGCTAAACCACTCTACTAATTCACCATTTGGTGTATTATAGATATGGCCAAAGAAGACACATTTTTGGCGGATGCCTAGCTGGTCATGTTCTTAGTACACTTGTTTCTATAGCAAGGCGCACACGCCGTCTGGAAGTGATCAGTTCGATTCCCGGCACGGTAACTATAGTTTGCAATGTTTATGTTGTCCAGTGTGTCCTTCTATTTATCTGCTTCTTTCTATGAGTGCTGATCAATACAATGTCTGTTTGTTTATTGTATATACACGTGTAAAGAGAAACAAACTAGGAATGACAAATACTAACCGCGGCAATGTACCAGTTTAACTCTTCAGGGCTAAAGGCTAGACAGTAGTCGTTGAACTGTAGCCATCCGTCATCACAGCTACTGAACACTGAAAATACAAATCATTGCAACGGGATTCATCCGACTTAAATTAGTCTCTCTCCGTAGAGTGGCTACATATAGATAGTGATTACAATAAGGGAAAGAAGGAGATGAAAAGGAAGGAGACAGGAAGAGGGAGAGAGTAGGAGAGAAACCGCACATTGAGCACGCTCCATAGCTGCAATGTCTCTATAAATTGTGAAAGGTCATGAAAGATATAGATTCATACGCCTTCCAATCCATGATAGTGTGTATCATCATCATCAATGTCATCATTGTCTGCATCATCAAGATCATTGTTATCATCATCATAATCAGGTGCAATGCAGACTGGCGACTGCGATTAAGGTGTGTCATAACTTCTGATCTCCAAAGCATATATCAGTATAATAATTGTGAGTATTAAATTATATGTCAAAACAGTAAAACCCACAAAACGTAGAGAAACCGCTTTCCGTCTGTTGTGTTTAGTGCATGTGGTGCCATATTTATGTGTCTGACCAACCAGCACTCGATCGATGGTTGTCAACACCAGCCTTTACTTCTCATTAAGTTTCATGCTATCCATTCTAGGCTAGGTCTACCTGGAAGTAAAGGTCAGTTTTAAAACCAACCCTCTTCGATACGGAATGAAACGCAAGAGCCGGTAGGCTAGTCTAGCAGCTGCGCTACTACGCTCGCTATGCTGCTCTACATTTAAAACAACAACCACAGCAACCACAGTAACAGCAGCAACATGTAAGCAAAAACATACCACACGGTATCCCCAGAACAAGAACAACACTGAGCGTCAGCTAGGAGAAATAAAAAGATACATATATTTATTTATCTGTCAAACTGGGTGTCTAGACGAGAGTTTTGCTTGTTGTGTATGTGTCAGTCTGTCGCTTGCTTGCCTGACAGCTTTCTAGCTTGGCCGCTTGTCTGTATGTATGTGTGGTTGTATGTGTGAGTGCGTGAGCGCGTGCGTGTGTTTGTGTGTGTCCCGTTACGCAGAGAGGGGGTACCTGCTGCCTGGGCAGCAGCCTGTACTTCAATTCAACATGCCCATGTCTCTGCCCTGGAAAAGCTACTCCAGCGTCCATGTGTGTGTGTGTCTAAGAAGTTTTCTTTTTGTATAAGATATGAACAGACAAATATCAGTAATTTTGCTTGGAAAGGCACAGTTTTACATAAATAATTTGTGGACAGAGCAGGAATGGACTGCACCAAATAGAACGGAATGGACGAAGAGGCTACAAGCCCTATGTAACATCTAAAATGCACAAAATGATTATGATGATAAAAAACAGTCTCTAATCCAACATCAGCACACAATAATTAAAATAAAAAATTTCAGAACATGCATAGTCTGTGGCTGCATGTACACTTGAGTGCATGGTACCTTCTTAGTCACTAAAAAAGAAAATGGATATAGGTATGACGGGAAGCTGTACCCCACCAGGACACCACACAAGCGATAAACACCCGGTGACACAAGGTGCCAACATGCGGATGAGGAGCATCTGTGGAGAGATCCCGGAAACTCCTTTCAGCAGTTAAGCCATATTTATGGCCCGGCTATATTTAGGACCCCCAAAGTGGTGCTTCAAAATAACAAAACATAAATTGCATCCCACATGGGGACCACGTTGTACTAGGTAATAAGAAAATAGATGCTTTTCAACGGTTTTAAAATGGAATATTTGAAAATACAGAGATAAAGAAATTGTTAGAGCGCGTTGGGAAGGATACTAGGCATACCCTTGAACAGCGGCTCTCAACCTGTGGGTTGCGACTCCTTTTGTGGTCGAACGAAATTCTCACATCGGTCGCCAAAGACCATCGGAAAACACACATTCACTGAAGTTATGTAGTAGCAACGGAAATAATGTTATGGTTGGCGATTATCAGAAAGTAATTACCGGGTATTAAAGAGTCGCGGTTTTAGGAAGTTTGAGAGCCACTGCCCTAGAAAGACTTAATGTTATTGCAGGACATTCAGGCCCTGAGCCTTTATTGGTAGCTGGTCTAGAGTGGAAGCTGCAACAGGACGGTGCCATTTTGATCTGGCACTTATGCAGCATGCTTTATCCTAATCGTATTGATGTTGGCCGTCTTTTAGCTGAGTTTGGGGTGAGCAAGGCAGACTGCATGGGTAACCCACGGATCTAGCAACAAATTCTCTACCCAGGGGGTGAAAAGGGGGGGGGGGCTGGCTAACGTAAATAAGTTCGACATTTCATTCAAAGTCGTAATGCATCTGCGTGAGAGGCGAGGGACTGACAGCCTGAGCACACATAAGCCAGATCTGTAAAACGCATGTGTACGCAAAATTCACAGTCGAGCAACAAGATCAAAGTACAGACTCCACATCACGCTAAAGCATATGAAAAAAATATAAAAGAAGACAACTATTATGAATTCACTTAATGGTAGGTATTTACCATAAAGCTAAATTCATGTAATCCTGCCTCATATTGGGTTTGAACCTGGAACATAATTGAGTAAGGAAGCTAAAAAACCACTCTATTAAAAGACCATTTTTGGCGCTATCTGGAGTATTGGGCATATAGTGCTAAACCTAGATTTTATACACCAATCGGCATTCAGTCTTTGATGTGGTCGACATGAAACCGACCGTTTTTTTCTTTTTAGGACTTTACCTGGTACCCGCCCAAGGCTTAGTCGACTACAATGAAGTCTAGGCTTTGAGATAAGGGGAAGGGTAGCTTTATTCTTGGCCTTATAAATGGCCATGGGCTGTGGTTTCCATGCTTCATTGTAGCTCAGTACAACACACCATCATCTGGGAAGTCAGAAAGATGCCAACAAATTTGCATTGCGTTGGAATATATGTATATTTTATACCAAAGCATAATCCTCAAATGACAAGATTATTCCATCTTTGTTCTTTAATGCATTTTATGACTGGCCTCTAGTCCTAGTTTTCTAATTTTGTTATGTTATATATTTCTGTTACTCATTCATCTTGTCTATAACATCTGTTCACTGCTGTTGTTTTCCTTCTCGCTTGTTTAATTTAAGATCAAAAATAGATACATGTGGCATATTGTCGCTCAACTTATGAAGCACATTAGAAAACTTATCCAGAAGATCCCAACATTTTACCTTAATACTCTATGAAGTAACTAGGAAATGAGAAGCAAACAAATAACGATATTATCAAGGTAGCAGTATAAGATATAAAATTTAAAATAAAAAAAATATAAAAACATACTTTGTTTGATTTCATGATTTGGTTATTAGACATCTACTGACAATGTTAGTCTTCAGTGAAAAATTAAGACCAGAAAGTCTGCGAACTGCTAGGACCAGAAATTAGTCGTAATTTTATACCTCTTTCATGACCTGAATACTATCACTCATACATCAGTACGTTATCAGCGTTTTCTATTGGTCCTTCTGCATCCGTGATGACATTCTCAGAGTATCGTTTGTATTGGCTGCATTTTATGTTTATTTGTATTTGAATGACAATAAACAATTTATAGCAGTGATTTCCAAACTTTTTGGATCTAACGCCTGCCTTAGGAGTTTAAATTGAACACAGAGCGTTTTTTTTTAAAGTATCAAAAGACTATATAGCTAGCTACCAGCAAGCAAACAAGAGTCGAACTTTAAGAGCACACTTCTGTCCCATTGATGCATAAGGATTTGAGTCGTGGGTGATCTTCCAATAACTAATGAAAAAAATTTGGGGCTTCTGAAAAATAGTGCTTGAGAAAGATTCTTGGAGTACCATGGACCAGGAAACAAGACATATTGTCCTCCTTTTTTGCCTGAACATCAAAGAAAAGCTTACACATAATCATCTCTCGGAAACAGAACTACTTTGGACATATAAAATGTTACAATGGCTTCGAAAGAAGCCTCGTCCTCAATCATATTGTCCTAACTTGGAGTATTTTATCAAGGTGGGATGTATGAGACATAATAAGGAAACGAAACAAAACATGATTAATGTCATGATCTAGGGATTAGACATTTAGCGACAATGTATCACACCTTCTGTTACTACTATTCATAACATTATCCGTCCCACCTTAAGGCGTCAACCTAAATGTATTTAAATAACGCAGCAGTCAGTCTGATCATGTTGACTTCTCTTGTTACCAGCTAACATTTTGTTTAGTTTAGCATGTGGTTCAGTAAATCCAACATCTACGAGTATTTCTTTACTTCTAGCCGAAAAAAAATACAAATATATATATATATATATATATATATATATATATATATATATATATATATATATATATATATATATATATATATATATATATATATTTATAAAATGATTTTAAAAGAGGAGAAAGAAAAGAAAAATCACAAAGCACGATTAACAATAATTTGCAGAAACACATCGACGTAAATCAAAGTGTCAAATAATAGAAAAGAAACAATCACCAACAACTGGTAGTTCTATGTCCATATATCTAAGTGATGGTAGACTCTCTTCTGTCTTGATGATATCTGCTATTTCTGATCTGATGTTGGACAAAACAAAACGGCAATCACTCTACACAGCAAGCTGGCAGCTAAGTTTGCTTTTATGAAAGTTAGAGTTAAAAATCCGGATTCACTTAGGGATATTGAGGAAACAAAGTAATAGATCATTTATAGCTAATTTTTCAACATTGCAAGATACCACACGCAAACAAAATCCAAGCCTAAAAATTTGAAGCCGTCTTTAGCCCTTAAATTACACTTAAGCTAAATTGCGCGTTCTTGAAAGATTTCTGGTTAGCTTACAAGACCAGTCCTCAAATGACTGGTCTGCGCTCTCTAGCGTAGTTGGCTAAACCGGACTGCGCGGTGACCAGGTGACGCATTCCTTTTGGTCCGGGTTCACTCCCGGGGGAAGGCAGAAAAGCCACATTTTCTCCCAGATTTACGGTACTTATATTGGTTTCTGGATATAAAAACAAACAAATAAACAATCCTTCGGAAAAATAGAGATTGAATTCCTTTACGAGAAAATATACATATGACTGAATTTTAACTTCAGTTCAATTATTTGTACCTTCTTATTTTCAAAATTTCTTTGAGACAAGGAAAAGATAAGAAGTCTTAGTTTAAGTCAGTCGTTTCCAAAACTCAGTTTTTTTTTTTTTTTTACAAAAGCTTTGATGCATCAGAGAATACAATAACGTTGCCATTTTTGTCTCTTGATGTTTTAAGTTCAAGTTATTCAAAGGTTCAAGGAGAAGAAAAATTTAGATTATATGTCAATTCAAAGACTTGTAAAATGAAACAAACAAAAAAATGTATGCGGGAGAGGGGTTGAGGAGTGGCCTCAAGGGACATAACCCTTGAATAATTAGTGTTTTTACTGTTATGCAAAAAAAAAAATTAAAGGTCCTTTTCCCCCGACTTTAGGCGTATAGGGCATATAGGGTTACACCTAAATTTTTATAGACCAATCGGCACAAGATGGGTGATGTTGTCAGCATCACTCCGCCCGCCTTTACTTCCCCGGACTGCACCCGGTACCCACTTAAGGCTGGTGCGACCTGAGAGTCAAGGTTATTTTTGAAAAAAAATTCCGTCTCCGCCAAGAAGCGAACCCACGGCCTTCCGATTCACACTTGAGCGTCTATCCGCTATTTATTTCCATTGCAAAGTCTATTTGTTGTTTCTTTCTGTCAGCTGCTCTTGATAATTGTCAAATATTTTTTTTTTTTTTTTTTAATTTTAAAAATTTAATTGAAACTTTTTTTTAAACAGCGGTTGTCGGTAAACGTCTCTGATTTCTTCGCAAACGTTCACAAAAATATATAGTGTGGAAGCCAGGTTTTTGTTAGTACAATTTGACCAAACGCAAACAATAAGACAACATATTGTACTATGGTTGGTAATGGGGTAATCGTAGTTCCAACTTCATTACAAACGGGTCATTTCATATTTGCACTGTTCTTGCGCCAACGAAAAATCCCAGATCCATTTTATCACTGTCTTTTATAAAAGAAATTGACATAGACTGCAGTCTCAGAAAATCCAATAGCATACCCGTACACTAAATCCATTAGGCAGCCGTCAGACACAAACACAAACAACACAAACAGTCCTGTACTAGAAATGCAGTTCATCGTCGACGGAAGCAGAATTTAAAAAAGATTAGTTGTAGACTCAATTAATCACATAAGGTACCATCATTATTTGGCACAGACCACCATCCGTTTTCTGAATTCACAATTCACAACACAGACCATTTAAGCGCAGTCGAAGAGTTTCCAAATAAAATCTGCAGCTCACAGAGTCGCACCATGCACTCAACTCATTAGATGGGCAACGGAACTATATCTTTTCAGTCTAAGTTTGGAGGTGAGGTCAGGTCTTGGTCAGGTATGTCTGTGCTACCGTATTACAGTAGCTGGTTTTAGCTGTCTTTTGTTACCGCCCAGTGTTGGTCGGCGTACACCAAACCTGACATCCCACAGTGTGCCAACGGCTTGGGTCGGATTAGCGTACTGGTGAAGATACTAGCCTTATTCCGCCTACCCTACGGAGCATTACTGAGTCGCTCCACGCAGGTATGAAAGATACAATAAACTTTGACGGTGCAACATCAGAGGAGTTTGTGCAATGGGGACAGGGGGAGGGTGAAATAAAACGGCTAACAATTGTGAGACACATAAAATTGTCAGGACTGAAAACATTCAGCCTGCCTATTTAGTGGGAAATTGGCAGTCAACTAAAAGAGTAGACACACCCCCCCCCCCCCCCCCCACACACACACACCACGTTTTTTAATAAATAAGTATGCAGTGCTGTATACTTGTGGTGGAAGGAAAACATACAAGATACCAGCCGATTATACTATAGTGGTATGGATTATTATTATTATTATTATTATTATTATTATTATTATTTTTCGTCTTCTTCTTCTTCTGTCCCTTTTCTGTCGCATCCTCCTACCCATCCTTCTCCTATTACTACTAATATAAAAAATATTATTATATGTCTATAATATGGCGTCAACTTTGTTATATTTATATAGCACAGCAGTTGATCTGATCTTGTTGACATATCGCATTATTAGGAGACGAATTATGTTGCAGTTTCGTTAAGTCTGTTTTAAATTCACACGGCTCTCACACCCCCCCCCCCCCCCCTCCTTTTCCCACAGGGTCCGACTCTGTTAAACTTTATGATTATTATTGTATTATTACTGTAACTGATATTCACACTGTGATACCCGAAGATACATATATATATATTGGATGTTTAGGTCAACAAGTCGGTTTGACACTACCCAGTCGAGGTGAGCCAGATGTCGAATGTCACACCTGCATCCTTCAGCTTTGAAATGGACTACGCCCACTAGCTCGTGATGTTTGTAACAAAAGAACGATCGTCAAGTAATTGAAACACGAGATAGCTAGGACCACACAGGGTGATAATATTTGAGAATGAGGCTGTAAGATTTGTGTTTAAACACAATTGACTTCTTTTTTGTCACTGGAGATTTAAATACAGGATGTGAACTGTTAAGGTCACATTCTGGTATTTTAAAACCTAAATTGTGTCAACTTTCAAATCATAAAGTTTATAGTGTGATAGAATCATTACCGTCAAAATCTATGGAAACTTGAAGGTGAAGAAGAAATAAAGAAGCAGAAAAAAAGAAGAAGAAGAAGAAGAAGAAGAAGAAGAAGAAGAAGAAGAACGAACGAACGAACTTTATTTTCAAAGGGTCACAAATTGGGCACGCAGGCCCGTCTTACATTCGGCCCTTCCAGTCAACCATCTTTATCACAGCAGTTGTATTTTACTAATAAAGCATGTTATGATCATATGATATGAATATTATGAATATTATAGAAGAACACAAAAGCATGAGTTGAAGAAGAAGAAGATGAAGAAAAAGAAGAAGAAGAAGAAGAAGAAGAAGAAGAAGAAGAAGAAGAAGAAGAAGAAGAAGAAGAAGAAGAAGAAGAAGAAGAAGAAGAAGAAGAAGAAGAAGAAGAAGAAGAAGAAGAAGAAGAAGAAGAAGAAGAAGAAGAAGAAGAAGAAGAAGAAGAAGAAGAAAAAGCGGAAAAAGTAATAGTATAAATCAAAGAAGAAGGACAAGATGGAGGAGGAGGAGGAAGAAGATGAGGAGGAGAAAGAATATGAGGACGACAGAGAAAGCAGACTAGAAAAAAGATGAGGACGGAAAATGAGAAGTGCAGCTTTAAGTGAGAGCCAGAAGGAAGAGGGCGAGGCGAAGATAAAGAAAAAGAGGGGAAAAAAAGACGAAGAACATAAAAAGAAGAGAATTAGTAAGTGAAAAAAGGAGCTATTATGGGGTGGATGGGTGAAAAAGTGGTCGGTGGGGTGGGGAGGAGGGGGGAGTGTGTGGTAAGAAAAGAAGGAAAAAAGAAGAATTTGGTGCAATAAACAGGATATTGCGATGAGATTTGCAGAACATGGGGTATCTAATTGCACATCCTTAACAGTAGAACACTTCAAAATGAAACACCAACACATACAAATAGTGAACACGCTTGAGAAACAAAAACTCTTTGGTGCGGTGTTATCCTATCACAGCCCATATAAACATCTTTACAAACTGCAGACTGTCAACACCATATCTGCAACAGGTCTCATCGTTTTGCAAAAACAGTAAGGTATTTTATAAAGGGGACTTAGGTTTGTGGTCATGTGGAGCATATCTGATAGGCTGCTGTTACTGCTTATACATCTACATTTTTTTCTATCACGACTAGAAGTGGACTACTGCCTGCTGCTCCTGATGTTAATGCAACAACTGATACTACTACTACTACTACTACTACTACTACTACTACTACTACTACTACTACTACTACTACTACTACTACTACTACTACTACTACTACTGCTGCTGCTGCTGCTGCTGCAGCTGCATCTGCTGCAACTGCTGCTGCTACTACTACTACTATAGTACTTCTGCTGCTTCTCACAATACCCGCGCCAGGTGACGTGATTGTCTATACAGATGGCTTTGTGTCGAGGGGTAGACTAGTGCATGGGAGTTGATAGCGATGGCGAATGAACGTCGCTTAGTGCAACAAAACCTGGTATACGATATCACAACGTTTATTTTGAGAAGGGGGTGGAAGCAGTCACCGTTGCCTTCCGCTGGCTTGAGAATCAGCTGTATACTCATGCCGTCATTGCAACTGACACAGAGCATATTGAGAAAGGTGGAGACAGGCATACTCTGTGCAGAATGGCAAGCATCCCTTCAAAGGTCCCGGGTAGTTAGCATCCTTTTGATATGTTCTATAGGTACAGCCCGAGTATTGGGAAATGAGCAGTTGGATAGTTGGGCTAGTTGTGCACCAGTTGGTGGCGACCTGATGTATGACAAGCTGGATGTTGTGACGACCCTTTGGGGTCGAGTAAACAGTGCCGAGGCACAGAAAACTAATTACGGTCTGAAGAGAATGGCGCTATCGAGGAGTTACAAGAGGATCAGGCCGACGCTTGACTGCTGTTCATGCCTCTGGTAATGTTGCAGATTAACCTGATGGCGCCACTAACTAATACTGTTAAAGTGACAATCACTAGTACAGCTACTGTTCCGACTACTACTGCAACTGTTAATATTGCCTACCGACTACTGTTTCTACTACTTCTGCTGCTGCTGCTGTTTCTATTACTACTGTTGCAACTGCTGCTGCAGATACTCTTTATGCTTCTACTGCAGCGGTCCTCCAACTGTGGGTCCAGACCCTTTTGTGGGTCGAACGACCCTTTCACATGGGTCACCTTACACCATCGGAAAACATTTTCACTAAAGTTATGAAATAGCAACGAAAATTATTTTATAGTCAGGAGTCACCAAAACATGATTATTAAAGTGTCGCGGCATTACGAAGGTTGAGAACCACTGCTCTACATCTGCAGCTATCGGCTGCTGCTGCTGCTACTACTACATATGAAGCGGTTGTTGCTGCTATTAAAGCTGATACTACAATTTCTGCTAATTTTACTAATCCTTTATTAATCTAATTTTGTTGTTGTGAAAACGTAAAAGTTTCCTTACGACACTTTCAGAATTTCCAACATGACATCAAAGCAGAACACTATGGCCACCAAAAGAGTCGGCTTGATCTCCGACATGCCCAAAGAAGGATTCTTCAACAAGAAAAACGAAGCGCTTCTGTCGCCACCCGAGAGTGAAATCGAGTCTCATATTGCTTGTGCTGACCAGCAATGTAAATCTTGTTGCCTGTTCTTGTGTTGTTTTGAGTTGTTCTTGAAATCTGGCTAGAAGAGGAGGAGATGGAGTAGGAAGAAAAGAAGAAGAAAAAAACAAAGGAAATGGAGCTCAGGCAGAGAAAAAGGATGAGAAGAAGAAGAAGAAGAAGAAGAAGAAGAAGAAGAAGAAGAAGAAGAAGAAGAAGAAGAAGAAGAAGAAGAAGAAGAAGAAGAAGAAGAAAAAGAAGAAGAAGAAGAAGAAGAAGAAAAAGAAGAACAATAATAACAACAACAAAAACATAAACAACGACAACAACAGTAACAATAACACCAATAACATCACAAATAACAATGAGACCAATAAAAAAAATCGATCACAAGCAAGACCAAGTAGGAAATACTTTTTGAGATAGAAACCATGCTTTTCTTTTAATGTGACTATCTTCATCGTTCTTTCCATATGTCCTCTAACTGTCTCATCTCCTCCATATGTTCACCCATTTCCTCTCTCCCTCCATGTGTCCTCTAACTTTGTCTCATCTGCTCCATATGTTCACCCATTCCCTCTCTCCCTCCATATGTCCTCTAACTCTGTCTCATCTGCTCCATATGTTCACCCATTCCCTCTCTCCCTCCATGTGTCCTCTAACTTTGTCTCATCTGCTCCATATGTTCACCCATTCCCTCTCTCCCTCCATATGTCCTCTAACTCTGTCTCATCTGCTCCATATGTTCACCCATTCCCTCTCTCCCTCCATGTGTCCTCTAACTTTGTCTCATCTGCTCCATATGTTCACCCATTCCCTCTCTCCCTCCATATGTCCTCTAACTCTGTCTCATCTGCTCCATATGTTCACCCATTCCCTCTCTCCCTCCATGTGTCCTCTAACTTTGTCTCATCTGCTCCATATGTTCACCCATTCCCTCTCTCCCTCCATGTGTCCGCTGTCTCATCTCCCCCATATGTTCACCCATTCCCTCTCTCCCTCCATGTGTCCTCTAACTTTGTCTCATCTGCTCCATATGTTCACCCATTCCCTCTCTCCCTCCATGTGTCCTCTAACTTTGTCTCATCTGCTCCATATGTTCACCCATTCCCTCTCTCCCTCCATGTGTCCTCTAACTTTGTCTCATCTGCTCCATATGTTCACCCATTCCCTCTCTCCCTCCATGTGTCCGCTGTCTCATCTCCTCCATATGTTCACCCATTCCCTCTCTCCCTCCATGTGTCCGCTGTCTCATCTCCCCCATATGTTCACCCATTCCCTCTCTCCCTCCATGTGTCCTCTAACTTTGTCTCATCTGCTCCATATGTTCACCCATTCCCTCTCTCCCTCCATGTGTCCGCTGTCTCATCTCCTCCATATGTTCACCCATTCCCTCTCTCCCTCCATGTGTCCTTTAACTCTGTCTCATCTCTTCCATATGTTCACTCATTCCTTCTATCCCTCCATGTGTCCGCTGTCTCATCTCCTCCATATGTTCACCCATTCCCTCTCTCCCTCCATGTGTCCTCTGTCTCATCTGCTCCATATGTTCACCCATTCCCTCTCTCCCTCCATATGTCCTCTAACTCTGTCTCATCTGCTCCATATGTTCACCCATTCCCTCTCTCCCTCCATGTGTCCTCTAACTTTGTCTCATCTGCTCCATATGTTCACCCATTCCCTCTCTCCCTCCATATGTCCTCTAACTCTGTCTCATCTGCTCCATATGTTCACCCATTCCCTCTCTCCCTCCATGTGTCCTCTAACTTTGTCTCATCTGCTCCATATGTTCACCCATTCCCTCTCTCCCTCCATGTGTCCGCTGTCTCATCTCCCCCATATGTTCACCCATTCCCTCTCTCCCTCCATGTGTCCTCTAACTTTGTCTCATCTGCTCCATATGTTCACCCATTCCCTCTCTCCCTCCATGTGTCCTCTAACTTTGTCTCATCTGCTCCATATGTTCACCCATTCCCTCTCTCCCTCCATGTGTCCTCTAACTTTGTCTCATCTCCCCCATATGTTCACCCATTCCCTCTCTCCCTCCATGTGTCCTCTAACTTTGTCTCATCTGCTCCATATGTTCACCCATTCCCTCTCTCCCTCCATGTGTCCGCTGTCTCATCTCCTCCATATGTTCACCCATTCCCTCTCTCCCTCCATGTGTCCGCTGTCTCATCTCCCCCATATGTTCACCCATTCCCTCTCTCCCTCCATGTGTCCTCTAACTTTGTCTCATCTGCTCCATATGTTCACCCATTCCCTCTCTCCCTCCATGTGTCCGCTGTCTCATCTCCTCCATATGTTCACCCATTCCCTCTCTCCCTCCATGTGTCCTTTAACTCTGTCTCATCTCTTCCATATGTTCACTCATTCCTTCTATCCCTCCATGTGTCCGCTGTCTCATCTCCTCCATATGTTCACCCATTCCCTCTCTCCCTCCATGTGTCCTCTGTCTCATCTCCTCCATATGTTCACCCATTTCCTCTCTCCCTCCATGTGTCCTCTAACTTTGTCTCATCTGCTCCATATGTTCACCCATTCCCTCTCTCCCTCCATGTGTCCGCTGTCTCATCTCCTCCATATGTTCACCCATTCCCTCTCTCCCTCCATGTGTCCTTTAACTCTGTCTCATCTCTTCCATATGTTCACCCATTCCCTCTCTCCCTCCATGTGTCCGCTGTCTCATCTCCTCCATATGTTCACCCATTCCCTCTCTCCCTCCATGTGTCCTTTAACTCTGTCTCATCTCCTCCATATGTTCACTCATTCCTTCTATCCCTCCATGTGTCCTCTCACTCTATCTCAACCTTTCTATTTGTCACTTCTGCACTCATGGAGAAGGAGGTTTGCCCGTTGTATGTGAACTGGATATCAGCTGTCCTGCATTCACCTATGGATATCCTTCGCCTGAGTACATGGGCCTCTAAAGCATCACTTCAAAGGTCCCGGGTAGTTAGCATTCTTTGGATTCTTTTTCCAGGTACTGCCGGTGTGTTGTGAAGGAGTAGGCGGATAGACAAGCCGGTTCCGCACCACTTGGTGGTGAACTGATGTATGACAAACCGAATGTTGTGTGGGTCCTTTAGGAGCGAGTTATCAATTCGGAGGCATGGATCATTACGTTCTGAAGAGAATGGGGAGTTTCAAGGGGATCTGGCCGACGCTCGACACTCAGGGGAAAGACGAGACGGATATACAGACAGTGACTGGTTCCATCGGTATTGGAACTCATCGCTTGCTTCTGAAGATGGGGACGGAGCGCTTACTGGCGTGTCCTTGGTTGCTACGATGTCGATTCTTAATTCACCATTTAACATTCTATGTGTCCACTCATTCACTCTCTCCCTAAGTGTCTCCACTCACTCTCATATCCCCTCCATATGTCCTCTCACTGTGCCTAATCCTTACCATGTGTCTAATAGCCTCAAACCCCAAATATACCACCCTCTGCTCATGCAATCACCTCTTCTACATTCCAGATGTCTTAAGCGTCCAAAAGGATGTCGGGAACATGCTCGAAGCCTCCAAAGCCAAATTACGTGGCCATTCACTTCAGAGTAGGGCAGCGTCTAGACCCTCAGTAGGTGTGTACTACTATTAATTCTGCTACTGCTACTATTACCACTACTACTCCATTTCCTGTTACTACTACTAGTACTACTGACACTGTTTATACTACTAGTCCTCCTCCTCCCCCTACTACTACTACTACTACTACTACTACTACTACTACTACTACTACTACTACTACTACTACTACTACTACTACTACTACTACTACTACTACTACTACTACTACTACTACCACCACCTCTACTACTACTACTACTGCTGCTGCTGCTGCTGCTACTACTACTACTACTACTAGTACTACTACTACTACTACTACTACTACAACTACTGCTGCTGCTGCTGCTGCTGCTGCTGCTGCTGCTGCTGCTACTACTACTACTACTACTACTACTACTACTACTACTACTACTACTACTACTACTACTACTATTACTACTATTAGTATTACTATTGTTACCACTATTACTACTACTAATTCCACTGCGAAAAATCAGGATCCGAACCCATGATCTTCCGATCCGCAGAGGAGCATCTGACCACACGTTACGTTGCCTTTGTCAATGGCATCATAATGGCATTTGTTTTTTTTTACTCACTTTACCCCTCTCGTTTTTGTTCGGCCTCTTGCCTTGTACCCTGTTGTTCTCACACAGTACGCTTTATCTGCTGGCTGATTTTGTTCCATTCTGACCAAAAGACCAAGCCGTTTGATTCTCTGATGTTCTATGAAATCTGTTACTAATACTGTGTTTAATGGTGTTCTTAGTTATCCTTATACTTGCTCTTGTTTTTCCCGACATATTTCTTACACATCTCGTCTCACGGAATTATCAACAAAATGAAATATGAATAGGTAAAATTCATCTTCAAGGTCGGCGTAATGCTGACCACATTACCCACCTAGTGCCGATGGTCTGTACAAATATGGGTGCTTTTTCCGTATGCCCAATGCGCCTAAAGGCGTGAAAAAGGATCTTTACTTAAAAAAAAAAAAAAAATAGATGTTCACAAAACATTATTGGTAGCTAGAAATGAACATTAAAACGGAAAATTATCAACTTGTATGCACAGGCAACCCTGCTGCAAGTTGCAGAAATCTGGACGGCATTGCGTCCATGGAGACATGGAAATACGGACAAATTTGTAGTATTTCGTGGAAACAAAAACAGTCACTTACAAAGGTTCTGAAAAGACCGGATATGCAAGTGACAGAAATAAACAAGAGACTATTAAAATACTCCTGCCATACAAAGACAATTAACTCTTCAGAGAGAAAATTCAAAGAAAAAAAAGCCAGATGTAGACAATGATACAGGTGGCCGAACAACGTCACTGTGTGGACGAACATCCGTCTGAGAGACTGTACAACTAAGACGTTCCTGTGAGGGTGCTGATAACCCATTTTTTTCCTGAAACAATAATAGACCTACTGTCCCTTTTTATGTGTTTTAGGCGTTGCGAACGAGGTTCGTAATGCCGGGATGCCAGGTTCGATCCCAGCTGCCGACGATTTGTCTTGCGTGGGTTTCGACAGTGGTACCAAGAGCTGACTGTTTAGCAGCAATGGCAAACTACTGATCATACGAATTGCCTAGAAAAACCACAGCAGTAAAAAAATGCTGGGGGTCGGTTCTGCAACATCCTGTAAAGGATACCCAATTAACTGTCACTTATAAGCATGTCACAAAAGAAGACAAATTACGAACTAGTGAAAGTCGGATTATTTGACTGAAAAGGGCATATATCACAGCCTAGCTGTAAACAACAACGCAGCGTCCATACAGCCCTTTTAAAGGCGACAACAAAAGAAAAGCAAAACACAGTTGTGTCGGATATCTTTTTCAGTAAACGTTCACAACGTTCACAGCACATGGTTGATTGACTGACTGACTGATTGACTTACTGACTTATTGATTGACTGACTGATCGACTTATTTATTTATTTATGTATTCTTTTATTGACATAGAGATTGATTCACTGACTGATGGATAGACTAATTGATTGGCTGATTGACTGATTGATTGATCAGTTTATTTATTGACTGATTGATTTATTGACTGGCTAACCTATTGATTGACCGATTGTTTGATCGACTGACGGACTAATTGATTGATTGACTGGTTGATTGATTGATTGATTACTAATTGACTGACTTATTGTTTCATTGACTGATTTATTGATTTATTGACTGTTTGATTGACTGACTGACTGTTTGATTGACTGTTTGATTGACTGATTGATTGACTGATTGGTTGACTGATTTATTGTTTATCGATTGATTCCTTGGCCTTTCATTAGATCCTCTTCCTAGAAAGTTACTAAAGGATATGACTGACGCAGAGCTCCAGCAAACTATGCGCAGATCATCCAGAGAACTCTTTGGAGCATTCGCCCCGCCGCTGGATCTCCTGCAGTATCTCCACGGTTACGATCCAAACGTTCTGACTAGCCAGGAGATGGTGAGCGCTGATTTCACGGTCTATGGTCTTAATCGTCGTCGTGGTCGTCATCATCATCATTATCATAGGAATCTTGGTCACCATCATTATCATGGGAATCTTAGTCACCATCATTATCATGGGAATCTTGGTCACCATCATTATCATGGGAATCTTGGTCACCATCATTATCATGGGAATCTTCGTCACCACATTGTCATGGGAATCTTCGTCACCATCATTATCATGGGAATCTTCGTCCCCATCATTATGATGGGGATCTTGGACACCATCATTATCATGGGAATCTTCGTCACCATCATTATCATGGGAATCTTCGTCACCATCATTGTCATGGGAATCTTGGTCAACATAATTATCATGGGAATCTTGGTCACCATCATTATCATGGGAATCTTGGTCACCATCATTATCATGGGAATCTTGGTCACCACCATTATCATTTGAATCTTCGTCACCATCATTATCATGGGAAACGTCGTCACCATCATTGTCATGGGAATCTTGGTCACCATCATTATCATGGGAATCTTGTTCACCATCACTTTCATGGGAATCTTGGTCACCATCATTATCATGGAAATCTTGTTCACCATCATTATCATGGGAATCTTGGTCACCATCATTATCATGGGAATCTTGGTCACCATCATTATCATGGGAATCTTCGTCACCATCATTATCATGGGAATCTTGGTCACCATCATTATCATGGGAATCTTGGTCACCATCATTACCATGGGAATCTTGGTCACCATCATTATCATGGGCATCTTCGTCACCATCATTATCATCGGAATCTTCGTCACCATCATTATCATGGGAATCTTGGTCACCATCATCGTTGTCGCGGTTAAAATGGTCGTGAATATTACTATCAGTATAATCTTTAGCAATATTATCTTCTTCAAGATAACCATGAATATAATTTACAACATCATTATTATCATCATTACCATCATCATAATCACTACCATCATTCTCATGACATCATCATCAACAAAACCCATATCATCACTATTACCGTCATCATTATTACCATTATTATCATACTATCATAACCCTCTCCTCCCCCCTCCCCCCCCCCCCCCAAAAAAAAAAACCTTTTATCTTATCATCATCAACAATATGATCTATCTATATATATAAAAAAAAAATTTAAAAAAAATTAGGGTGTGTGTTTTTCAGGAAAGACAGACAAAGAAAAAACTAAGATGCATGTGGAGTACTTTAATAATAACTGAGCAGTATGTAATAACAAGTAATATGTAATAACAAACAATATGTAATAACAAGTATTGTGTAATAACAAAATAGCACATAATAACAAGTAAGGTGTAAGAACAAAGAATATGTAATAACAAGTAATATGTCATAACAAGCAATACGGAAAACAAGTCATATGTAATAACAAGTAGTCTTCTTCTTCTGCCTTTCTATCCCCCAATGGAGCATAGGCCCCCAACGAACTCACGCCAAGTCGTTCTATCCTTCGCCATTGCATTTAGCTCTCCCCACGTCGTTCCCATCTTTCTAACTTCATTCTCCAGCTCTCTTCTCTATGTGTTTTTGACCTTCCTTTATTCCTATGCCCCTGTGGGTTCCAATGCAAAGACATTCTAGTTATGCTGTTCTCCTGTTTTCAGTTCGATGCTTTGCTCTATTATAATACGTAATGTGGCTATCTGGTCAGTACAGGATCTGTTTGACCGAAAAGCTGCCTGCTCATCTCTTAGCTTTTTATCAATAGCATCTTTTAATCTTTCCAAAATAATTCTACTTAATATTTTTCCAGGAACTGACAACAACGTAATTCCTCTATAGTTTTCACACTCCTGTAGATCACCTTTTTTGGGCAGTTTCACAAGATATCCTTCTCTCCGGTCTGCTGGTATTTCTTCGGTCTCCCAGACTTTACTGAATAATCTATGTAGCAATTCAGTTGATGTGTTTATGTTGGCCTTGATAGCTTCAGCTGGGATACATCTGGGCTGACGCCTTTCCTTCCTTGAGAAGATTGATAGCTTTTCTAATTTCCTCTTTGGACGGTGTCTCACAGTTGATATCCAGCTCCATTTCTAAAGGCTGGATATCTGGGGGAACCTCTGGGCCTGGTCTATTTAGAAGCATTTCAAAATATTCAACCCATCTGTCCATTTGATCTTTAGTGTTAGTAAGTACCTTACCTTGTCCATTTTTGATTGATCCAGTTGGCTGACTATATTTACCTACTAATTTTCTTGTGTTACTGTAAAGTTCTCTGAGGTTTCCTTTTGCGGCAGCTGTCTCCGCTTCTTGTGCTAGATCATTTAGATATTTCACTTTATCTGCCCTTATACGCCTCCTAACTTCATTATTGGCCTCTGTGTATTTCTCCTGAGCTCTAGCTTTAGCAACTCTAGTTTTGCTGTTGTTTAAGTCTGCCTTTTTACTTTTCCTTTTTTTCAGTCAGTTTAATGGTTTCTGTGTTATCCACGCTTTGTGTTTCCTTTCTTTCTTGCCAAGAATTTCTACGCAAGATTCGTTTCAGATTCCTTTGATCTGATCCCAGCAGACTTCTGTGCTGACATCTTCAGCTAACCATGTTGCTTTGTGTATTCTTTTATGGGGAAAAATACTTCCACCAATAACATACTGGTTTCCTGAAGAAGAAGAAGCAGTATGTAATAATAAAAAATATGTTATAACAATCTGTATGTAAAAACAATGGTTACAACTCTCGTTGTCATTGGCAGTGATGCTGATGTTCACATATAGCACACCATAACACTATTGTCTGGAAAGTCAGAACGATGCCAACAATTAGATAAATACAAACATCTACTTGAATTTACATTATTTTTTATATGTAAGCATTGCTTGCGCTGCTTATGTGGATTATATCATGATGAACATATCTCATGTAGCTTTGTTGCTTGCATGGTCGGCCTCTTTTTCGCTTCCCGTTTGGTCTAAACATGCTCGCTGTCGTATTCTGTTTGTGTGCATCTGCGTTACATGGCCATACTATTTCACTTGCTCTTTGCTACTGAAATCCAGAGCCAGCTGCTACTTCCCATATTTTACTTCGGTTTCCTTCGTTTCTGAACTTATTTCTTCTTTTTATATTAAGACCCCTTCGCAAGAAAAAATCGCATTTCTATTATATTTTTTCCCCCTCTTTTTCTGTCATTGTCTACATCTGGCACCGATAGCACGGGGTTGGCAGGAATATTGTGTGCTCTTTTGAAATCTTTTGACGCATGTTTGTTTCTTATTATTCATGCCATTTGCCCAATGAGTTTTCCCTGCAACATCTGTCATGGGAGCCACCTGGTGTAGCAGCTAACCGATTGCATGTAGATCGGAAGGTCGTGGGTTCGGGAACTGATGGAGCTGGATTTTGTGTGTGTGTGTGTGTGTGTGTGTGTGTGTAATGACCTTGGCTTTCTATTTTGTTTTTGTGCTCCTTTATTTCTATCCTCCTGTGGATTCCAGTCCAAATGCATTCTGGTTTTATTGTTTTCAGGCTGGTCCACTGGAACTTGTTTATTTACCTCCCAAAGCTTGGCTTAAAGAAAAAAAAATGACCACGTTCAATCAACTTCATAGAAAGAGGAGCTTTACGTTATAATTGTGACCGGTTATCTGCACCTTATAACATTGCTTAGCAATGCTCGCCACCAAACAGCTCTGAAACGGATTCTTGCAGTCTTGATGCGATCACATGAGACGGAGCCAAATATTGTCCTGTTCGGCTTCAAAGTCGTCTCCTGCCAATCAGTGGGCGACCTGATGGCTGATGTTCTAACAAAGCTCAACCCTAGTGATTATATGATACCATGTAATTGCCTCTTTTCTATCCCTTTTAATTGTTACGTCTGTTTGAGGTTCAGTATGCACATGCCCAAATGTCCAGTTGATGCAAGCAACTGTATATGGTTCCCAGGACACTAATAATATGACTTCCTATCCTCTACCAGGACCACGTGCATTCCACTACTCTTCTGGGAGCAGATGAGCAAGGCGCGGTACGGATGTACGACCTTATGCAGAAGTATGAATCCTGGTTGCCCTGTAGCGTAGACGTGCTGCGTGATGGCCGCGTCGGTATGGAGGAGTTTGCGGATCTATTACAGCTTCGTGTTGGTAAGTGTGGGTTGTGAAAGCACATCGGCGACCGGGTCGTCCATTAGATGGCCGGTAGACGACTTCGCCGTCGGTGCGGGCAGTATTTCGGTCTGTCTTCTTTGATCGCATCAACACTGCAAGAGCCCTTTTCACAGCTACTTGGTGCCGAGTAATGCTAAGCCATTTTTATATGGTACATCCTCTATGGATGGTATCTCACAGTTGATATCCAGTTCCTAGTCACAATTATAACTTAAGGCTCCCCCTTTAGGGAGGTTGGTTGAACGTTTCGATTTTTTTTAAACCAATTGACGAAAGGAAAGGAAAGACCGACTGCTTTCTAACTAGCATGTCATAAATGGCGACTCACTGGGAATTCGTTGAAATCAAAAGTATTGGGTCGAAAGGTCGAAAGTTAGTAAGTTAATCGACAGGTTATCCTCATTGCACTTCTGACAAGTCCTTAAGCGCTCTGATCCCATCTTCAGTATATGCCCCAGCGTGTGGCGACTGATAACGCCAGTCCTGTGTTGGTTTACTATTTTTCTTTGACAGTCTGTATAGCGTTGATGTTTGGTTCCACCTCTTTTGACCTGAAGTTCTTGTAGTCTTCAGAATGTTGACGAAAAGCAGGTGTCGCAGTCTAGCTTTAAATCACACCGCAACAGACCAACACAATTTTTAAGGTCGAATACAGCAGAAGAAGAAGAAATAAAATAAAGGACCGTTTTCACGTCATAGCCGAACCAGGGCGTGTGAAGAACATCCGGCCAGTCGCGTTTACTAACCATGACATTACCTGGTACCTATTGTATGCTGGGTCGACATGGATAACATGATCAGTTTAAAAAAAAAAAAAACTTTTTATCAATGCAGATTTCAGCCATAGACATGTGAGTTTAAAGGCGAATATAGCCACTGTAGTAGTACGCTCCATGAACGCTACTCTACTGTTTAAATAACAAATAGTGATAAAAACGAATACCTGTAATTTAATTTGGTTAAGAGAGGAGGGGGTGAAAAATAAAGGATTGCACAGGGGTGTCGTATTCGTAAATACGGTCTTGGTGATGGTGTCGTGGTAGTGGTGGTGGCAGTAGTAACAGACAGAAGGGGAGGCAGCAGCAGCAGCAGTAAAAGTCGTATCTGTAGCAGCTCACAGTAGCCACCTTTGTAGCAGCAGTTGTAGCACTATGATAGTGATTAGTGATAGGTAAGGACTATCATCACACCCCCTTCCCTCCCTTTTTCCCCCGAAGATCCCCATGGGTGCACTGATCTCCTTTTCAGTATTCTCTCATATTCACTAATATGGATGAGGATAGTGAGTTCTGCTTGTTATCGCGATCTCGCGTGACATTAATGACTACACTTCTGTACAGTGCCAGTTATAGTAACCATCTAGTCTGCAAAATGATCTGCACCTTCGTTGCTTCAAAAGCCGGCATTGCCTGGCAAACAGATACAGGTTAGGCTAGCGAGGTATTACCGATGCATTCAATGAGAGAATTTATTCTGGCAGATAAAGCCGGTGTGAATTTTCTTGAGAATATTCACCGAGTCACTGGTAAGCACGTATATAGGAATTCCTAAGTACATAGCCACACCAGCAGTGTTGCCACTTTTTTTTTTTTGACAAAACATATCCAAAACGGAGTCAAAAAATATCTAAAAACATCTAAATTTGCGTGAAAAACCTTTAGAAAAAACATCCTAAATTCACAAATTACATAGCAATTGATATGACTTACCCTATAGAAACATGTCCTTATCTTCACTGATGTCTGCCTCACAAGATCCACATGATAAACTTAGCTTGGATGATGAAGTTGAAGCTTCAGATCCAAAATGACTCTGGTATGCTTTAACTGTTTCAATTTCTTTTAATACCCAATCAGGGAGCTGATATGTGGAACAGCCTATTCCTACTCTTATCAGGACGAATTTTATTATCAAGATAGCATTTAAGAGGCCAAGGTTCATCCTGTTTCTAAGGTTACATTTGATAAATTCACTCCAAATGAAAAACATCTAGAAAGACATCTACCATCTAAACGTCAAAAACGCGATCTAAATGCAAGGTAAAACATCTAAATCTGGATGTAAAACATCCAAAGTGGCAACACTGCACACCAGTGCCCTTGTAGCAGACATGGTCTCCGCTGTAAGGCTGCTAAAGGCACCACTTATCTAACTGATGGTTGTTCCCCTTTGTGCTCACAGTGAAAACCCATTTACTTCCTTTGCCCTAGGTGACTGATCTACCCATGTAAGTTACATCATCGTAAAACGCATCTGTTGTTTTTGTTAAGTAAGCTTGCTGACAACAGTGTCTACAATGCTAGGAATCTATTCCCTGCTGCCTCAGTCAGTAGTGATATGCACCGTGATGCTTGTTTTTGAAGCTGTAGCCAGATGTATCCATTCATTCCCCGAATTGGTCTGGAAGGTAAAAATCCACTGGATGGCATCCTCAGATGGCCCCCATCAAAGATCTGCCTCATTAAAGCACTCTAACAGGCAACGTTACTATTTTTGTCGTCATTATTGCTATTACCATTATCAATATCCTCATCGTCTTTACCATTATCCTCCTCCTCATCATCGTCATCACTAACTGATTCACCGTCATCATCATGATGATCATCATCATAATCATCATAATCATCATTGACCTAATGACCGTTATCATCATCGTCTTCATCATCATTATTATCATTGACTTTTTCATCATCAATATCAATATCATCATTGTTATTATCACCATCGTCCTCACATTTATTTTCCGACTTGTCAGGGCTAGAAAAGGCCACTAACGCTATTCTAGAAAATGCCGACAACGCGGAACGAATTTATACGCTCCTTATCAATAAACTGGCCATGCTGCTGAAGCCACTAGAGATCTTACACTTGTTTCACAAATACGACCCCAACGTGCTGGTCCAGGATGATATTGTGAGTATCCTGTTAAACTCTGATGTTACAACATGTTTCATAGATACGACTCTAAATAAAATACAGTGTGATGTTGTGAAAGTCACTTTCAGACCTGTTGTTACATCATCTGTTTCACAAATACTACGCTAAGGTTTGAGAGTATCAGTCTCTTTTAAAATGTATAGGAACAGTATCTGTTTCACAAACATGAGTCTGTATAACTAGTGCAGAGTGAATTTTTTTTAGTATTCTCTTCTTCTTCTTCTTCTTCATCTTCTTCTTCTTCTTCTTCTTCTTCTTCTTCTTCTTCTTCTTCTTCTTCTTCTTCTTCTTCTTCTTCTTCTTCTTCTTCTTCTCTTCTTCTTCTTCTTCTTCTTCTTCTTCTTCTTCTTCTTCTTCTTCTTCTTCTTCTTCTTCTTCTTCTTCTTCTTTTTCTTCTTCTTCTTCTTCTTCTTCTTCTTCTTCTTCTTCTTCTTCTTCTTCTTCTTCTTCTTCTTCTTCTTCTTCTTCTTCTTCTCTTCTTCTTCTTCTTCTTCTTCTCTTCTTCTTCTTCTTCTTCTTCTTCTTCTTCTCTTCTTCCTCTTCTTCTTCTTCTTTCTTCTTCTTCTTCTTCTCTTCTTCTTCTTGTCTTCTTCTTCTTCTTTTCTTCTTCTTTCTTCTTCTTCTTCTTCTTCTTCTTTCTTCTTCTTCTTTCTTCTTCTTCTTCTTCTTCTTCTTCTTCTTCTTCTTTTCTTCTTCTTTTTTATCTTCCTTTTCCGTATTTGCAGTTTAAAGGATGGTTGGGTGGCACTTTGTTTCATGGTTAACAGCTGTGCTTGATATCTCTGCTTGAGACTCAACACCTCCCATTTAAACGTTATGGACTTGCAAAGCAAGATCTGTATTCTATCAGCACTTGTGTGATGTGGTTAGCATCATGGCTGGTCGCCTTTATTTCCCAGGACTTATACCTGGTACCCATACAAGGCTGGGTCGACCCTGGAGTCAAGTTCATTTAAGAAAAACAAAAATCGGCTCCGTCAGTACCCAAACCCAAGACCTGCCGATCGGCACATCCGATTTGAGCAAATCCTTAATTTGTCAGAGGGATTCGCCATGGTCTAGCGGCTAGATGCTAGCCTGTGGATCAGAAGGTCGTTGGCTTAGGTCCCTACAGGAGCTGGACTTTTTCTTCCTCTTCAAAAATGATCTTTGCTGCCAGGTCAACGCAGCCCCAAATGGGTACCAACTACAGTACTGAGAAGTAAAGGTGGCCGGCGTGATGCTGACCACATCAACCACCAAGTGTCGTTTGGTCTATAGATCTAGCCCAATATACTCAATACGCTTGAAGGCGTAGAAAGAGTCCTATCCTTTCCTTTACCTAATTTTTCACCGTTTGTAACATATTGTTAAGGACGCTAGGTATCCCCCCCCCCCACCCTCACCCCACTTTTTTCGCGCCCCTCAATAGATCCACGAAATCTACACGGGTAGACTTTAAAATGAAGCACTCAGTATAATGTCTATGCTTCCCTAGGACGCTGTAGCCGAATTGACCATGGAAGAAGGCAACGTGGTTGGGTCCGAGGAGCTACTGGCTCGCCTAATCCAGTACCGTGGATGGTACCCTTGCCTGTTGCTGGTCCTCAAAGATTCCAGTGTGGGGTTGTCAGATCTAGCTGATGAGCTGGCTGATCTCATTGGTGAGTGACATCTTTGTTAGTCTAGTTCGGCGGCCTGTCGGGGATTAGGGGTGAGGGGGGAAAGGGGGGGGGGGGGGGGGGGGGTGGGCATTTCATTATAGTGTTAGCAACTCAGTGTAAGGGGAGGGGGCCCCTAATATAGGTCATAGGTCATATAGAACATGGTCATAGGATGAGCAACTCATAATTAGGTCATTGTTGCGCACGTACAAAAATCCCTTGGGAGTTGGAAATCGAAAAAAGTAGCCAAGCGGTGCTGCCCTGGCAACATTTGGAGTTAAAAAAAATCTACCCAAAGTATTTCAGGATTCTCGCCGATGCTACAGAGCCTGTGCACTATGCTAAGCATCTTCGGACTCAGACTTGAGTTAGAAGAAGAACAAAGCACTTATGGATAACTAATCATGTGTCATGATGTTGATCTGTTGTTCAAACCTCAAACCTTATAATAAGGTGAGCAGCTTAATGTAAACTCACCAAACGAGCAATGAAATTGAGAAATAAGGGGAATGAGGAAGCGAGAAGGTCAAAGATAAACCCTGAAAGGAACGTTGATACGAGAGGCTCAATTTGCTGGACGATTCAATCAGTATTATCGAAGAACTTACGCAGGATAGGGCAGAACGGAGAATTCGACACAGCCCTGTGGAATGTATAAAGACACAACGGGATGATTACGCCGACGATGATGAACTCGCTAAAGGAAGAGCAGCTCATTATGAGATCAACAACGTTCTGTAGGGCCAACCCAGGTTATAGTCCTAGAGTATAAATATTGTATAATGTCAACAGGAGACATGTTGGCTGAATTTTCTCGTAGAGTTAATATGAGCGACTATCTTTGGACTTGGTCACTTCGTAAATACGATCCTTTTCTCTCTCTCTCTCTCTCTCTCTCTCTCTCTCTCTCTCTCTCTCTCTCTCTCTCTCTCTCTCTCTTTCTTTCTCTCTCTCTCTTCCCCCTCGCTTTCTCTCTCTCTGTATGTACTCATGAAAGTATGTTTGTATGTTTGCATTATGTGTGTAAGTATTATGTTTGTGTGCGTGCGAGTGTGTATGGGTATGAATATATTATGTGTGTATTTATGAGTGCGTGCGTGTAGGTGGGTGCGTATGTGTACATTAGTGACGAATAAGTGCGTGAGGGGTGTGCGTGTGTGTGTGTGTGCTTATACGCGCGCGTGTACACATGCATTTTGCCACCCATGATTTCTATGCATAACAGCAAGATGCAACTCTCCTGCTATAACTTTATCATTACCTTGCCTAGAAGCCATTCTTGTGATAAGCTGTGACTGGCTTTTTGACGGATTATTCATTCTGTGTGTTTCGGATTTTTCATGATTTGATATGTTACTAATTCTTAGCGCAAGAGTGCACTGACACAGTTTACAATATGCTGCATCTGATCCGTCTGAAGATCTTTTGAGCCGTGGGTATGTTTTCTCCCAATTAATATAATGCTTGCGACTGCAGTCATAAGATGCTTTCCATTTACTGGATGACGTGGCCTTTAGTAAAAGTAATAAAATCTATCACAGATAGAACTAGGTCTATATCATCTCTGTTTACTACCCTCAAGTAGTTTCTGAACAGTCTGAATCACTTGGTATCGCTGGTGGGTTTTGGTTTTATTTCCCGCATTTACTCTAGTAAAAAAAAAAAAAAAATGTTTTAAGTACACTCCCACGACCAGCTCAGATACGTCTGCCAGGCTACGCGACCCCGTACTGCATGTAGTGTCAACGTGCGATGGTTTATCTGTGAACTGCTTTTTTACAGTTCAATTACAGAGGGTCTTGGTTTATCGCTGTAACGATCCGTTTAGGAAGACAACAACATATCATACAATAAGAGATGGCGCGAATCTCTGCTAGTCCGTACCAGGACATCACATCAAAGACAAACTGAAATAAATAGGCCTACATTGCTTTTTGTAAATCTGAGGAGGAACCAGGAAGAAAATGTGAGCACGGCTTGTTTAGAAGAGCCAGGGAAAAAAACAAATACGCCAAAATACGCCAGCTCATTATCTTAAGCCAGTTAAATATCAAATACACGAAATTTGCGGAATGGAATAAACAAAAATTCAATATGGCAACCCTAGTTTCTGCTCCAGCTGTCTGGCTTCATCTCTCTATCCTCAAAGACAGACCGCTCCTTCCTTTCCTGATGTGCCATTGTTTTTTCCCTCCGCCCTTGTCTTCCTGGTGTTTTCACGCAGAATTACGGGACGATGATAGGACTATACACCCAATGGGCCTAAAAGTGTTGACAAAGCCCTTTTAACGTGAAGGACCCTTTTTTACGCCTTTAAAAGTATTGGGTAAACAGTGCTGGACTTATATTTTGTAGTCAGATGGGCACTCCCTGGTGCGATATGGTCAACACAGACCGCCTTTATTTCCCAGGGAACCCATTTTAGTTTCGGGCCTCCTGGGAGCCAATGCCATTTATGAGGAAAAAATCCTACTCACTGCAGATTTAAACTGACAACCTCCATAAAAAAAAAGAAGAAAGAAGAAGACGGAGAAGAATAAAACCAACAACATCAATAAACGCACGCACGCACGCGCCCATGCACGCACACACACACACACTTGCACACACACACACACACAAACACACACACACACACACACACACACACACAAAACACAGGCTTCAAAAAAAAGATTTTGTTTTGTAAAAAAAAAAACAGCCGAAGAGTTTCAGGAAATCAAACAACTGCAAGACAATGCGCAAGAAGAGTTGATAGCCCGCGTTGCTCGCATTAAAGAAAGGACCATGGAGGCAAAGAAAAAGAAGAAAAAGAGGCCTAAGACACCCAAACCGGAAACCATAGATTTCGTAGAGTCGTTTTCAGATGTGGGATCTCAAGCTCCGGTGAGTTAGATTGCCAGTGTGTGGTGTGTGTGTGTGTGCGTGTGTGTGTGTGTGTGTGTATGTGATGTGTGTGTGTGGTGTGTGTGTGTGGGGGGCGTGCGTGTATGTTCATGTGAGTAAGTGTGTGTGTGTGAGTGAGTGAGTGTGTGAGAGTGTGTGTATTTGTTTGTGTAGAGAGAAAGAGAGTGAGAGAAACAGAGGTATTGAAGTTTAAAGTAGAGAGATTCAACTTTAGTACCTTGGGTTATCAACAAAAACTACATTTGTGGACCGAACGATGCATCTGTTTAAAGTTCTTCTTCTTCTTTTTCTTCTTCTTCTTCTTTTTCTTTTCCCCTTTTCTTCCTCCTCCTACATCTTTTTTTTTTTCTTAGTCTCCCCCACCTTTTCCTGTTTCCTCTTGTTCTTCTTTCTCTTCTTATTTTATTATGATTATTTCTCCGCATT